AAACTACTAATTGGCCAAAATGCTTCGTTTGACTTTTCGGAGATCATCTACTCTTCCCTGTTGATGGCCCCTGACCTACTTTCGCTAAGATCTGAATTTCTGCGAACTGAATTTTAGAATATTGAATTTAAAGTTCCGGATTTCCTCTTCATCTTGAAAACTTGAAGCTGTATTTTTAAAAACTGAATTTTTGCAGTCTAAGAATTTAGAACAAAAAAATCCGCTGTTTGAAACTACATGTCTATAAAACAAAAAATTAAATTGTGTTAAATTTCAAATGTTCAATATTCAAGTAAAAAAATAATCTAATTCAGAACTGTTAAATGCCACACAATATTCAGTTTTGTTCAATGACACTTGTCAATAATTCAAATTTACACAATACAAATTCAAATAGTTATGTCATATTATAAGTTCCATATAATTAAACATTTACATGCTTTTCAGTTAAAAATATATATATTTCCTCAACAGGTCTCTGAATTTGCCAATGATGTTGCATGTTACATAATACACAGTGAGTCAAGTCCTGGTGGCTGGTACTGGCCGCTTGTGAACAGTGTGACGATCAAGATTCCAGATTGTCATGAACTCCTGGAGCACATTGTGCTTGTTGATCTTCCTGGAACTGGAGACTGCAACAAGACTAGAGATGACCTGTGGAAAACCGTAAATATTTCACTACACTCTTTTCAAAAGAACTGTTTTCAAAATTATACATAAACATGCCACTAACTATTTCAAATCCTGTAGAAACTGACAGAGTGCTCTTTTGTGTGGATTGTGAGTGATATTAATCGAGCAAGCACCGATCAAGACCCCTGGGGGATATTAGGGCACTGCATTGAAGAACTGGGACCAAGAGGAGAATGCAAAAGCATCAATTTCATCTGTACAAAGACAGATGTTATAAATCCATCAGCCTATATGAGGTTAGAATTAGAATCTTTTGTCATTAAAGGTGCAATCTCTGTGAAAGCCCCATGCTCTCTCAACAGCAATAACCAGTCAGGAAGCCAGTAAGGAAATGTGTCAATCATTTTGCTTTTTCAGGTTTGCTGATATGTCTTAGTGACATTTTCTTATTTCTTTTTTAGATCTGCGCGGCTTACTAAAGACCAAATCTCGGGAGACAAAGTTTGGAAAATTTTGAATATATTTCTATATATTTGTCCTTCATTTGATTTTAAGTGGACATTTCTTTGAAGTTTTTTTTTTTTTTTTAGTGCACTGAAAGAAATGTTTATTGAAAGACAAAAACTAATTCTGAAATTGCCATTTGATAGTCCACAAAATATACCTTAAAATAAGTAATACATTTGTTCCAGCTCTGACCTGACAATATAAAATGTTTCAAGCTGTTTTTACACATACAGCTAGTTTGAGTACATTAACTACCGCATATATTAATATATTGTTGTTTTTATTTTAAGGATCAGAAAAAAGTTTGCATACTTCATAGAAATGAAAATGCCAAGACAAGAGTCAAAGAAAACTTTGAAAATTCAGAAATCAAGGTACAGTAACCATTTAAAAAAAAAAAAAAGTCTACTGTATATGTTTCTTAATATATTTCTGATAGATGCTAATCTTTCTTTCTTTCTTTCTTTCTTTTTTTAGAAGAGATTCAGGACTGATGATCATTTTCTTAATGCTTTTACTGTAAGTTCCAATGCCTTCTTCGACCACAATTTAAATCTGGAACCTAGTGAAACAGGTAAACTATCCTGTTTACCAAACAACCACATTATTCAGAATAATCCACATTAACTAAATGTCAAATTGTTCTGTAATTACTTACATAATCTAAAGTAATCTTTACTGTACATGCCATGTAGTCTGAAGGACTGACCAAAATCACATCCTTTTGTAGAAATACCAAAGCTGCAGGATGATTTGAGGAATATAAACAAGAACATTAACAGAGAACTGACCAGAGATTATGTAAATGAAGCGAAGGGAGTTTTGTCCTTGATCCAAAGTGTCCAACTGGATACAGACAAGAAAACGGTATGAGTACCTGATATTTTGCATGCAGGTCTTCAGAATGCAGCCAGTATACATTAAGTTGTAATTTACTGCTGTTGTCTCGGTGTGTTTTAGATTGAGACGAAAGTCAAAGTCCACATGGAATTTGAGAAGAACTTAATGGAGGCACTAAATGAATTAAACAATCGTTTTGACAGCATTTATAATGATCTGGAGAAGTGTCTCTCAAAGGGAGTGGAAGAATCAGTGCAATTATGTGTTGCTTCCACAAATGAACTGATAGCACCTGTGAGTGTGATTCAAATATTGTGCAAAATGAATCACCATATTTTGTCCTTTTAATGACATTAGTATTTTTGTTTTGCCACTCAGAATATAGATAAAAGAGGATTCCATAAAATCCTTCAAGCTTTGTGCAAAAATGGAGGATGTTACTGGTCAAAAAATTGGGATGTAGTCCTAGATCTGAACAGGCAGTTGGCCAAACACTTGGATGAATACATTCATGAATATTTCGATCAGATTTTTCCGTAAGTTCAGTTTTATCATTCCATTTCCAGTCCCCCTTTGTTCACTCTATAAAATGAAATGGAAACTGTGTGTAATGCTTGGTTATAATAATTTGTACTATGTATGTGTGTGTAAAGTAGTAAAGGAAGATAGAGATTTGGTTGAGTTTTTTGGTGGTCATACCAGATTAATTTGAGGCCAAAAGTTTTGTTAAAGGAATATTTCACCCAAAAATAAAAATCTGCTAACATTTTACTCATCCTCAGGACATCCAAGATGTAGATGAGTTTGTTTCTTCATCAGAACAGATTTGGAGAAATTTAGCATTATATCACTCACTTTAAGGGAAAAACATCCTTGTTTGTTTCACCCAACATCAGACAGGACACACAATATGATTGGGTTTATACTGGTTTTTCATCCAGTAATTCTTGAATCAGATTATTTAATTACAAAACAATTATGTTTTAAATTAACCCTAATTTGTTTTCTCTTGGCTGTAGTGTCAATGGAAAAACAGGGAAGTCAGTGCAGGAACAGATCGATAAGTTCAGTATCTTCCAGAGTGACTCTGTTTACCCAAGCTCTGACATACTACATTATATTCAGAACTTCATCAAAACTGAGGTGAGTTCAATTGTCTTCTTGTGTGCATTAGGGGTCATAATCCAATAATCCAATATCCCGATCTTCTTTGTCTGTTTTTATGTTTTTACTTCTTTTGAAGTCTATGTGAGTCTATGTGAATTATTATTAGGGATTACTTTTTTATTATCATTCTTCTCCGGTAAAACTGATCATGCAGACCAAACCGTTAGGCCTAGAGAGCTGAAACTTGGTCAGACCGTAGTAGTATTGCTCACTACTCAGATCAAAAGACTCGCCCCAGTTGGGCCTATCGGGGGTGCTGCAGCGATCAAAAATTATTCCTACAGTTCCTAACTCCTAGACCGTTTGTCTCAATGGGCTAGTTGCATATCTCTGCCATCTTGGATTTCCAGTCTAGCGAGTGTGTGCATATATATTTCCGGTTTTTCTAAACGTCAGTGCAGAGAACCGGAGAAATCCAAAAATTACCTTCTATATATTTTTACAGGATTTATAATATCACTTCAAATGCAAATAAGATATACACTGCTATTATTACTATACTATAAATGTTAACTGAGCCAGTGCATTTGAAACTTACGTATGTGTGGGTTCGGTGAATGAATGAAATACACTAATCCCCACTGTTCACGAAATTAAAGTTGAACTTATGGTGTGTACACACAGCTACACAATGTCTTTTCCCTTACCAATTATGTAAATGTACAAATTACTTATTTCTCGAAAATGTTTGTACATTGATTTTTTAAAAATGAAATATTTACCTTGTGAGACATGGGCTGCGATTGATCTTCATAAATATCCCTTTCTCAATTGTGCACAGTCATCAGTTTGTTCCATTATCATTTTCACAACATATTTTAATATTTTACGCATAGTTAACTTTGCATCAAACATTTTTTTTTTTAAATGGAAAAAAATGGGCTGTAAAAGGATACAACTAATACATGACTAATTTAAATATTTATTTTATCTGATATTTAATGCAAAAGAAATCGTAAAAATATACATGCACTGCTTATAGACATAATGACTTGCAACTTTCACAAAACAGATAAATATTAATAAAAACACACAGGGCAGGGAAATGCAAACACCGATCTTTTAATTAATGCAAGCCTACCATAATTACATTGTTAAATTGTACAGTTAGTTATAAATTATGTTATCAAATAAAGTTAATAAAACATACATGCAGAAATCTCTGAGCATCTCGTTTGACAGTCGCAAAACCTTGTGATCTTATAAATAGCAGTCAGAACAAAATCAAATCTCTAAAAAGGTATTTGAGTGGTTTGTGTTTGAATTAAGAGATCTCCGTAGACTGACTACCCACTGATGCTGAACCGCATAATCAACAGAAGAAAGAACGAAACAAACTCCACGTTTTATCTTGATGAATTTCCACAGAGGTACGCAATAATATAAGGAGGATGTTTTCTCTTGTCTTTGATATACCACTATCTTTAATTTTAAAAACATTAATTATATCTACCTAGCCAAGTTTCCCTTACAGTAAATGCGAACATCGCAAGACCGGAAGTAAGTATGCACACACTCGTGTCGCCGAAGCTCACTGGCGCCATCTTGTGCACCGAGCCAATCGTCTTATATCATTGTAATCTTTGGCTCAAACCAAACAAAATGGCTATCTCCCATTTCATTGGGAGATTGGGAGTATGCACATTTTTTGAATTTTGAATTTTGCGAACTAGTCCTAGGTTTTTCGCCCGATTGGAACCAAACCACTTCAGAAATATTCTCTGGACAGTGAATATCAATAATTATCAAAAAAAAACGTTTATTTCGACTCACCGTCGCAAATGGGCGCCAAAACATTCATAAGGGGCGGGGCCACTTTTACTAAAATGGCTATAACTCCTGAATGGAATGAGATATATTCACCAAACTTGGAATACATGCGTAAGAGCTCAGTCTTTGGTCAAATAAAAAAATTGCGCAGCTATTTATGCGCTATAATATGGAAAAAAATATAAAACAGCTATAACTACGCAACCGTTGGTCCGATCGACTTGAAAATTGGTATGCAATGTTTTTGTCCAAAGTGGCACAAGTGTCTATGAGGACATTCGCGTATCTCAAAAAACATGGCCGCCATTGGCCAAAGAAATTTAAGCACCTATTAGACAAGGTTAATGGTGGTCGATCGGAATGAAACTCTGTGGTCATGTTTGACTCATGGCTCATTGACTAAAGGTCTGTTAGAATTTTGAAAGAAATTGGCCACTGGGGGGCAAAATTGCATTTTTCAAGTGCATAAATGGTTGTATATTGCACGATTTTTCAATCATACACACAATCTTCACATCATTTGATAGAGCTCCTCATGCTGAGCAACTTGGCCTCAAAAACCACTGCTGTCAATCAAATCGTTCATTATTATTCTCAATTATGTAAAAAATCTACTTTTGCTAACTAGTCCTAGGTTTTTTGTTCAATCTTGATCAAACCACTGCAGCACAATTCTCTGGACTCTCTAGATCAATATTTATCAAAAAAAATATGAATTTTGTCCTTTGGTTAGCTATAATGGGGTAATTTAAAAAAAGGGGTGTGGCCAAAAATACCCAAAAGCCTATAAAACCTAAACGAAAACTCAAAACTTTACGAAATTTGCAAATTTTCATGGAGATCGGACCATAGGAGGCACTATAACAGTAAAAAGGTCTTCAAAAACACAACATTTCAACTGTAAATGACCTTAAATGAAATTTTTAAAAAAGTTCATATATTCACATATACACTAGATCTTTTGCGAACTAGTCCTAGGTTTTTCGCTCAATTGCAACAAAACCACTGCAGTACAATTCTCTGGACCCTCTAGATCCATAATTATCAAAAAAATATTGAACTTTACACTTTTTTTTCCTTTTTTTAATAGAAACACTAAATGCCCTTTTTGTGAGAAGTAACTAGTAACTATAACTAATTACTTTTTTAAAGTAACATGCTCAACACTGGTCATCATCAGAACTCCTGCAGCCGCTCTGAAGAAACTGCGTCGGCTGAGTTAGCCGGCTGCTCTTGGAACGCTCTCGCTGTACTTTGATGCCACACGTGACGGTGACGTGGCATCGGCGTCGTCTCAAGTTGGACAAAATTTCTAACTGGCATGCACTGCTTCAAGTCAGATTTTGATCGATCTGCGCAGCGCTGCGTTAAGTCGAATACACCTAGTCACTTTCTTCATTCTTAAATGAATCAGCCACTTGAACGAATCGACTGAATAAATGAGATACATTGACTTGCTGCCACCAACTGGCACTTTCAGTTTCATTTTTAAAGTTTAAATAGAGTTATTTAAATCCTTTAATATTCAAAACGTTATATTTAAAACATTAATCTCATAAAATTGTTATTATGAATTTAAATACATTCATGCCATCTCTCTGAGTCTCGTTAAACAGTCTGTAAATATTCCTTAAAGGGTTAGTTCACCCAAAATGAAAATTAGTCCATAAATTACTCACCCTCAAGTCATATGACTTTCTTCTTTCAGACAAATTATAGCACTGACCTCATACGTCATCCGCCCGGAACTGCCTCTAGTGTACAACAGTGAGCGCACGCTACATTAAAGTGATTATTACGTTTTGAATATGGATATTTTTCTTACAAAAACGCATCAATTCGCTATAGAAGGCCTTTGTTCACCACCCCCCATCTTTTTTATGGATGGGCGCATTTTAATTAAGTGCTTTTGGACTGATGCATGCAACACCCGCTGAGTGCCATTAAACAGCTTGAAAGATCAAAGACAATTTTTAATATAACTCCGACTGGATTCGTCTGAAAGAAGAAAGTCATATACACCTAGGATGACTTGAGGGTGAGTAATTTATGGGCTAATTTTCATTTTTGGGTGAACTAACCCTTTAACATGGGTGCCAATACAAACAGGTGGAGGAGGAGGAGGAAGAAGGCTTCTTCCGTCCTTCAAGGCCGGGAGGCCTTCCTAGAGCCTGGTGCCCTGACGGCGCCGCCCAAGCTCCTTGCCCAAGCTCAAGCTTCACGCCCAAGCTACACGCCCTGTCGGCTCCGCCCAAGCTTTACGCCCTGTCGGCTCCGCTTAAGCTCCGCTCTCTCTCTCGCTGTACTTTGATGCCACACGTGACGGTGACGTGGCATCGGCGTCGTCTCAAGTTGGACAAAATTTCTAACTGGCATGCACTGCTTCAAGTCAGATTTTGATCGATCTGCGCAGCGCTGCGTTAAGTCGAATACACCTAGTCACTTTCTTCATTCTTAAATGAATCAGCCACTTGAACGAATCGACTGAATAAATGAGATACATTGACTTGCTGCCACCAACTGGCACTTTCAGTTTCATTTTTAAAGTTTAAATAGAGTTATTTAAATCCTTTAATATTCAAAACGTTATATTTAAAACATTAATCTCATAAAATTGTTATTATGAATTTAAATACATTCATGCCATCTCTCTGAGTCTCGTTAAACAGTCTGTAAATATTCCTTAAAGGGTTAGTTCACCCAAAATGAAAATTAGTCCATAAATTACTCACCCTCAAGTCATATGACTTTCTTCTTTCAGACAAATTATAGCACTGACCTCATACGTCATCCGCCCGGAACTGCCTCTAGTGTACAACAGTGAGCGCACGCTACATTAAAGTGATTATTACGTTTTGAATATGGATATTTTTCTTACAAAAACGCATCAATTCGCTATAGAAGGCCTTTGTTCACCACCCCCCATCTTTTTTATGGATGGGCGCATTTTAATTAAGTGCTTTTGGACTGATGCATGCAACACCCACTGAGTGGCATTAAACAGCTTGAAAGATCAAAGACAATTTTTAATATAACTCCGACTGGATTCGTATGAAAGAAGAAGGTCATATACACCTAGGATGACTTGAGGGTGAGTAATTTATGGATTAATTTTCATTTTTGGGTGAACTCGGTCAAAACATTAGCACTACTTTTCTATCCAACAGGAGCATATAGTCAATCATAGCACAGTGACTGTCAACATA